ATAAAACTCACAAATGTGCAAAGAGCAGCTACCAGCTGATTACAAACAACCAACATCTGAATGCAAACAGCCAATAGCTGAAAAAGTGGGAGGACAGGTCGAAGACCGCCTAGAATCGACCCCAACGGGGTAATACTCAAGAACACTACAAAACACAAAAAACAACAACACAAAGGCCCCAACAGGGTAATATATATATATGATAAATTGAATTTAATATTTTGAAAATATTGCGAGAAATTGAATAAAAAAATTTTGCTGCCATAGTATTCAAACCGGGATTGGGACCTCAAGGAGTATGATAGCACTCAACACTGTTGAACTTAACAAAAAGCTTCACAAAGGCATCACATTTCAAGATTATGTGGAAACACAAGGAGTCAACAGAAAAAAAAAATATTTGATCATTTAGATCTCTCATTATGAACTCAGATGCCAATCATAGGTGGCAGAGTAACGGAGTTTATATTCTCTAGACATACCCTTCTTTTATGGGTTCTATTATGTAACCTTTTTGAATTATGCATTTATCGAGGATTCACTACCACTTATCAATATTTTTGTCATCTGAACCTTTTGTAGTTGTTTCTCAGTAATAATAATATCAATTTGGCCTTTTTTTTTCAAGATAATGTGTAGTACTTCATGACTGCAATCATTACTATATGTTCTTATTCTGGACACTTCATTGTAATGTCTATATGATGTCATATTAACATTGCAATCTCTTCATCTAATATATTCCCTTAGACCCACATAATATATTGAGAAATGATTTTGTATAATCACCCACAAGTGGTAGCTTTTGGTACCATTTTATCATTTCGTACAATCATTCAGTGGTCGCTTCTAGTACCATTCTAGCAGTGTGGTAGATTCTAGTACCACATTATCATTTTATTTAATCATTTCATTGAGTGGTAGCTTCTGGTACAATTTCATCAATTTTCATTTCTCCATTAACAAATTTGGGGAATTTATCGACTATTTCTTCCGAAATAGTTTTAACATCATATTAGTAACTCATAGTCACATTATTTAACCAATTGCGTGACATTTGCCAACCACACTTGGTAATATTATAATAATCGAAGTGCATAGTTTAAATTACAATAAATAGTTACTTGACGGTATCGCCCGTCATTCTATAATGCAAAATATGTAAAACCATCCATCTTGTGATAAATCAACTCATCACAAGAGAGGTAATGTAATATTAAAATTACAAGAAAATTAGATTCGATAAATGTTGGGTTTAACCCATCATTTGGAGATAATAACGATAAAAAATAAATTACAAAATATTTAACTGCTTCTTTAGGAGCAGGTTCGTCCATATAATGTCTGTTCACGATTAAGATTTTAATATACTGTTCAAATGGCCAAATACAAAGTAAAATCCATTTCACTCATCGGCTATTAATAATTAGTACTGTCCATCGCCGGTAGCAGAGCCGCACTGGCCATGTACCTATAGCAATTCATATTCTTTTACATGTATTACTTGTTGCACGTTGCCTTACCACCTTGCCATTCTACATCACCGGGTATTATTAATTAATACACTGGTCGGTCCATTTAGTTTAAATATTTTATTGTATTGTCTGCTTTCGGTGGCTGCACTCTACCATTTCATATAACCGTTTCATACTTTTATATAATATTTTGATCAACAATTGATCTGTCAGTTAGCATTAAATATTACATGTCGGCAACAGAGCCGCACTGGCCAATCTATGTAGCCATACTTGTCATTTCACTTATCCAATGTTCACTTGTCAAATAGTTTCACTATAACAATAGCTTAAAGATTCAATGTAATACTATATTTTATTATTATTATTTAATAAATCATATTAGTATTGGTCTTAAACCGAAGCTATCGTTAAATAAAGTAGAGGCGAATTTCTTTTACGCCCCAATATATATATGCACTTTATTTCACACACTGTCCCATCAAAAAACTTCTTTTTCACTCCAATATTCACGAACCTATATGTGATATAAAATCACATATCCAAATGAACCACATAATTAACAATTATTTGAGATTTTGTCGTATATATGCTAACGATATCTAAATCAGACACATAGTAACAAGTATGCAAAGCACTTACACAAATTATGTAATCGCGAATACAAATTGAACGTCGCATATTTTATAATTACGCTACATATTGTTGCATAGGTTACGACTAGCATATCCAAATCCACCGTATAATTTACCATAAGCGAGAAATTTTCGCAAAATATTTTGTTATCGCATATCCAAATCGAACTTCGCATATTTTATGTTATGCGACGTTTTTTTTTTTTGCATAGATATGACTTGCATATCCAAATCCACCGCATAATTTACCATATGCGAGAACTTTTCGCATATTGTGCTATTGCATATCCAAATTGAACTGCGCATATTTTGTGTTATGCGACGTTTTTTCGCATAGTGAAAGACTCGCATATCCAAATCCACCGCATAATTTATCAATGCATAGAGCCATTGCCTATTGACTTATCATGTTACGGCATTTCTATGAATGACAGTATTTGGGTAAAAAGTAAAAACATAAATTTATTGAAGAAAGCAATAACACCAGGGGATAAAATAAACAGGAGATTAACATGCAACTTGGCCAATGCAACTTGAGGAAAGCAATTTGTAAATATGAATAATCAACTAGCATAACCTCAAAGAGAACATGAAATATGAAAGCAATAACTATACATGAGATCATGAGGTTTATTGAAGCAATTTCGCGATGTAGGGGGCTAAATCAAAACCCAGTGAACATACATATTGACTCACCATTCTACAAGAACTTTTCAATGCATGTTGTTAATGTGGTTTCTGGAACCGCACCAATAACTGCATCCTTCTTCTCTCCATTCTTAAAGATTATGACAGTAGGGATGCTCCGGATTCCATATTCGGTTGCAATGGAGGGGCTCTGATCGGTGTTGACCTTGAAGCATTTGAGCTTTCCGACATATTGCTTAGCCAGTTTCTCGATGACAGGGTGGATCATTCGGCACGGCCCACACCATGGTGCCCAGAATTCAACCAGAACAGGTAAAGTAGATTCGAGTACAGAAGATTTCCAATTTGCGTCACCAACAGCAGCCACTGCAATATTTTATATAATGTTTTTATGGGACAATTATTATGACCTACTCAATGCTTTGCGAAAAATTCTGAGTTAATAATTTTTTCACAAATTAAGGTGCACATGCAGTGAATACGGAAATCCACTAGTCTAAGAACTGAGGGCTGCACCCAAAATGGATTACGAACTCAAAATTAGTTTTTATCACTATAGTAGAGGAGACAAACCAATCCAACAACAGTCAGGATGCATGAAGTTCGACGAGGATCACTAACACATAAATATCTTATCAGTTATCAGTAAGTGCTGCTAAATCACTTGGTTGTTAACCAGATATCCAATTAATATATATAATAAAGTCAAAAAACATTGAAACCTTGGTATCTTTGAGCTCAAAAATCAGTCAGATTCTAGCATTTTGTCACAAGCCATATCAAATTAGGAATCAGAGAGGACCAAGTAATGAGAACATACAAAAGAAAAGAACTAAACATATCAAAGTACTCGAGTAGAGAACATACAAAAGAAAAGAACTAAAATTTGATTCTTCAACTTAACTTATCNAAACATAAACAATCTACTAATAAATGTATTATGAAGTTACCAATTCAAATAACCCACCCCACAAATACCCAATCAGAAGCTAACACGATGAATCAACCTAACCAAATAGTGACCATTTTCAGCTTCCTGACTTTAGTCTTAAAACCGGAAAACCGGAGACAAGTAAGAAGCCCAAGAAAAAAATATTCCAAATTCCTATTCCTTTCATTTCCAGCAAAATGGCACAAAACAAAAACAATCGAAAAGTAAGCGTAAAGTTATTGTGTTGTAGCTAAAACAACATTCGAGCAGGTGCTACTTTGGACAATAGACTTTATGCAAAATCATCACAACAACGCACAATAGCACATAAAATAACTAATCTATATACCGAAGATAAGTAGATAATTATAGAAAATAATATCAATAATTATATATATCCGTTACAAGAAAGGTAAAATCCAAACCATCAACAGCTGTTTCCTGTGCCTCGCACACGATTCTGCTACCGAAACGCGCAAGCTTGGAGGGCGACCTCAGCTTTGCGGACGAGCGAGTTGGCTGGACCTTAAGTCCTCGGAACTGCGAGAACTGGACCGACCTGGATCCGGCGATCGGAACCGACGAAGCGGACGGAAGAGAGGCGGCGCGAGGGATGGTCAGGGTTTCCAGCATACCAGCAGCCATGGCTACCTAAGGTGGACCGAACAATACACAAACGATATTCACGCAGCAGAGTCGGCGTGTTTGAGCGTGCGATTGTGGATAAAATGAGAATGGAAAGGGGGAAAATAATGTGGTTTCAGTTTGTTTGGGTGTGAGTGATAGATTTGTTTTAGATGACGCGTTAACCCACTCAGATGAGCCGATCCCGCCTAGCCACAAGCACATATAATTAAATAAAAATAAAAAATCAGTTATGAAATTTTATTATGATATTTATCACAACCTTACAATAGAATTTTATTTATCAACATTAATAACAAATTACAGTGATTTCTTATTTATTTGGTAACCAACCATATACCAAATATTTTTTTATTGTATCATAAAAAAAACATTTAATCAAGAAAATTAGTTTAGAATCGTTTGATATATCAATAACTCAACTGGTTCAGTTTTTTAAAAATTGTAAATGCAATTTTCATAATATCAAAAGAAATTTAATTATTTATTTTTAATAACAAACCAATCTTTATCCTTAATAAGAAATAACGTGTTCTCCTATTTGGTTGGGCATCCCGACTTTAATATGCGTGAGAACATTGCAAAATATAAGTACAAAATAAATTTAGAAATCAATTGCAAAAATCTTATTGATATAACAAGCACAATAATACAATAAAATTGATATCTTAACATTAATAAGAAATTTCTCTGATTATCTATTGATTTGGTAACGAGCCATATATCAAAAATAATCTATCAAAGAATTCAAAAATATCCCTTGATTTTATCAATAACTACACTAAACCAATTTTATATTCTGACTCATAATATTATAACAAATATCATATAAATTAATAGATTTGAAAGAAAAATTAAAATGTTAATAATATACATTATTATGAGTTATAAAAAAATATTATAATATTGACGTAACTAAAAATTAATAATTTTTTAACTTTAAAATAATATATATTGCAGTCTTTGTAATTAATTTTGATTATAATATTTGACAAAATTTTTTAATTTTAACATAACTTATTTATAAATTGACATAATATATTTTAATAAGGTATGAGTAAAGAGAGAGAGAGAGAGAGAGAGAGAGAGAGAGAGATTATGTGAGTATTATTTAATGACAATGTTTGAATATGTTAAATTTTCATTACCCTTACTTATAAACAAAAACTTTAAAATGACAACTATTTTATAACGAGTGCAGTAAACATATAAATTATTTATTAAATTATTAAATATCATAAAATAAAAGAAAAAATAAAATTAATATTCAAAATTATTTTTATATTAATCAACGTTCTTTCATTGGTTTAATACATACAATTTATAATTATTATTTCGTACATCACACAAGCTATGTACTAGTTAGAATAGACGGGGTTGAAATTTTATTTGTTCTCCCTTCAAAATGAATATTGATAAAAACAAGTTTGATCTGATAATTAAGAAAAATCCGAGATTGACGCATATGGCAGAACGCGTTCTGGCACAAGTCCAGTCAGTCCTTCAGACAAACCTCAAATAGACATACATGTAATAATCAAATGGCAACATTACGTACCATAATAAGTAAACAATCACTTTTAACATTCATATTTCTGCTGGAATTCTTTGCATCAGAGTTTGCAAATTACTGGAGTTGACAACTTGAACCACAATCACAAAGCTACATCTCCATGGATTTGATTGTATTTCACATTAAAACGACAGACAATGCATCGAAACAGTAAATGATCCTCCAGCTAGCTCAACAGTGAGTTAAGATAACTTCTGCTGACTGAAAATTACCCAAAAAAACAGAAAAAGATGTATACACACACAAAATCATTCATTGTTAATAATTGTAGGCACCTTCTCGTACAGCTCGAGCTCCCTAAACCTCCGAGGCAAGATCCAGCGACCCCCTTTCCTCTGCTGCACAAAAACTATTACTGCAAATCCAATAATCACACAAGGAATAAAAAGATCCCACACCGTCGAGTAATAATCCGCTCCTGGATTCGCATAGTAATAAGTCCCATTCACATCATAAGCCGGATAATTATATTCCCTGTACTGATTGTACGCATGCGGCGCCAAACGGGCCAAACTAGTCCCCACATAAAACGGTTCACACAAAGCCTTTCCAGCCGAGCCACTAAATATATTGAGCATAATTTGCGGAAATAGAAACCCGTCAAGAATAAAACCGGCGTACGACCTCAAATCCCCCCAAACAGAGTATTTTCGGTAAAATCTGTTCCAAACCACAGCAAGCAGGCCACCCAAAACGTACAATGTGAAAGTAACAAAGACACACTTTCTCTCGTTATTTTCGACCTGATTTGCGGTCCAAACCAATTGGGCCAAACGTATTTGCAGCAAGAACGCTGCCATTGTGATTACCCTAACAGCTACTTCATTAGTTACTTTATTGCGATTTTCTAAGAAAACGGCGTCGAAGTTCAAGACAAGTGGGATCATGTGCCCAAGACAAAGTAGAAAAAGCACGACGAGTGAAATATGAGAAAGTAACGCGGGATTTCGCTTCACGTGCAAGATTTGCAGCCCTATGAAGACACATAAAAGCGTGTTGGATATCAAGACCATTGTAATCTCAAAATCCATTCTCCATATTGACCTTTCGGCATCTTCACCGTAATATGCAGCGGAAGACAATTTCAAGTCCTTGAAATAAAGAGTGTCCGTTTTCTCCCGTGTGCTTTCTATCACCCCTTTAATACGGCCACCCTTTTTGTCGTTTAGAGGAGCAAACTGAAATTTCACCAAAATCTCACAGCCCAAGGATGTAAAAGTCGTGCTTGTATTACGCCCGTTTGACGTCAATTGGCCGCATGCCGCCATGCAGAGATAACCCGTTTCTGCATAATAAGCTCCCTCGGCAGTGATATCCAATCTGTGCCGAGAGTCGACAGATAGATTGAGATTCGGGAACAAATTACGAATCTCGGCCTTATATGCATGGATGATTATACTGTAGCTGATATTGGTAGGGGCAATGTCGGCATTTCTCGCAGAGCTAGAAATTTCGGGGGCGGATTCTGGTGCGATTGTGTCTACCGGAAAAACCATACGCCTCCTGTCGACCAAATTAGTTCCCACAGAAATAGGTTTAGCATATCCCCACGCAATTTCGTTGCCTTTAGAATTTACAGCATACAAGTCGAATCTCATATCATCCGAGAGCACAAGTGGATATACATTCCCTTTCTTCACTAGCTTCTTAACAGGGCATAAGTTTTTCGCTCGGCCTAGTTCGCTATACTCGTATCTCAGGTCCGGAAAAGCCAAAAGGTCGAAACTTGTGAGGTTAACCTTACCGAAATAGCCAGAAAATTGACCCAACACTTTCGGTTCACTTCTGATGGTCCAGACAGTGTTGTACTTGAGGCTCAGTCTCATGGTACAATCCCCTACTGCACGGCCCAACTGAGTAGTATCCGGATTCAAGAGGCGACACGCGATGCCGGACAGCTCGTTGTTCTTACCATCCCACGAAGCCTCCCCAATCAAAGTCGACTCAATGCCGAATTCTTGATTGACGTAACTTACATTTTGTAAAAAGGCCAAGAATCTTATCTTTTCTTCGCGCCAAGAACATTGAAATGGGGTTAGAGCCAGAAAAGCAGAGGATTTTTCATACTGCATCTCCAAGACAGAGCTAAACATCCGGCATAACTTGATTGGATGAGTACCAGAACCAGATTTTTTTGAAACCAGAGAATAATTATAGTTGGAAAGCTCAGGAAAAGTGAATATAAAAACCGGGTCAAAGTACGCAGGATCATTCACAGGACTTGTACTCTTGAGAGTGCCACTAACTACACCAGTGTAAATATCAGGATTCTCAGTGGCATAGTTGAGCTTGAGAACAGCTTCAAGATTGACAGTCGTGATCCCGTCAACTGCCCCAGAAGTAGATCCAACCAAACAGAGCCTTTTGGAGATTTCGGACCAGAAGCCGGTTAACACAAACCTGACCGATCTCCGAGATAGAGAATCTTCTCTGTTGTAATAAGATCCAGCAAAGCTGGAGGTTGTGTGGTTGCGCAAATACTGATGTGGAGAGAGGATATTTAGAGCTGCCTTCACCTTGTAGACGCCTTCTGTTGTGGTTTGATAGTAATTTGGCAGGATTCTGAGCTTGAGAAGCTTTCCCGAGAAGTAATAGGTTTGATTCCCTTCTTTCGGGGGAAAGAGTTTGTTTCCGCCTGTGAAGTATGATGACATGATATTAAGCGCAGAGGGTCGGAGAATAGGAGAAGTGGTGGTGGACTCAGGGACAAAGGAAGAACAGTGATCAGAGTATGAAAGAGTAGATGATGAGGAGTTAGTGCAGATGAAAGTGAGAAGAAAAAAGAAGCTCAAGGAGGAGGTAAACCAAGAAGAATGCATTGTAGCAAAAAGGGTTCAACCCAAAACAACTAAGAAGAAGAAGAAGAAGAAGAAGAAGAAGAAGAAGAAGAAGAAGAAGTTTTTTTTTTTGGGACTTATACTGCTAATATCATTTCAGTTGGAGCTTTGTTTGTGGCTTATGGGAAATGTCATTTGGTCAATATGACAAACATCTTTCAGACGAACTCTGTTTCGGGGAAATTACATTTACAAGTGCGGGGAGTGTGGAGTGGGAGTGAGCTTATGGTCCAGTGGTAATAATTGATGGCATTTACCCAATCGGATTGCATGAAATTTGTGTTGACTTGGATTATATGGTGCAAATTGCATTTGGAATCTACTAAAGTCTAGCCACGACTTGGAATTTTGTTTAGCGCCATTAGTGAGCATTAGGGCTATTTTAATCACTTGGATTATATGGTGCAAATGTCTCTGAAAGATCCAATCGAACGAGTTCTTCAAACAACTCAACACATCATATGATGACAAATTACTTAGGGCTATTTTAATCACTTGGTTTCAAGCTAATCAACAAAAAAACACAAAAACTCCAATAGACATCCATGTATATACAAATATTTATTACCAAATGCAACTGAAGCATCCCGATGTCATAATAGCAGTACTCCAAACTCTCTACTTCCCAAAACAGTTCAACACCAATCAGCTAAACAGTATCCGGCTCTTACTTATCATCCTCATGAACTATAAATATCACAAAAACTGATTTTATGAATTTGAACTTATTTGGATAAGAATTATTGGTGGTCAGTAACGGGATGAGCACCTGCTCGTGTTTTCTCCAATTGGGACAAATAAAGGAACTCATCACAATCCTTTGCCCCAATTTGCACGAATTGATTCACCAAAGTCGTCATGAACACACGCAGGCTAGCCTTGAACTCTTGCGAGCAGCTCTTGTCTCCCTCATCCACATCCTGAACTCCGCCTTTAACAAGACATCCAACTTGAGCCCCGTCCAAGTAAGCCCTACAAGACACCAGTATAGCACGAGCATGCTTGCAGAAATACCCGATGGCAAAGTCCTCAAAATGCTGCAGGATAAAACCAAAGAAGCTTAATGGAGGGTAATCACATTATTATATGTTCCAATAATTAAGAATATTGCCCATAATATCACGACCTTTTTCGAAATTGCAATTTAATCACGACCATTTCACTTTTGCAAATCATATCACAATCTTTCAGTTTGTCACAAATTGGTGCATCGATTTGCGTAATCCGTGCAAACTATATCACAATCTTCAGTTTGTTGTTCGACCACATCAGCTTTTCTATGACTGTTTGCACCGACTTGCAACAAACTAAAGATTGTGATATAATTTGCAAAAGTTAAAATGCCATGATTAAATTGCAATTTCGTTAAAGGTCGTGATATTAGGGGCAATTTTGCCTATTTATATGAGATGCCGGGTAAATTAATGACAATATTAGTTTCAAATTTACTCAAAGACTTCAATAAAATGATGCCATGATCGAGCTCAGGCTCGTGAAAGCTCAGGTACGGTCAAGTTTGTTAAATGTTTATGCTGCGAGCCGAATCTAACAATCAAAAGCCTAAGTGAGAAGCTCCATAGTGGGTCAAATTGTAAAACCACCCCTGGTGATCTAATCCAATTGATGCTTCAAAATTACAAATCTCCACCCTTAAAGTAGGGGGTTTGTTTGACAAATACTCTTGTCTGTGGCTGCAATGGGGAAATGTGTCTGCCAGAGTGAGTGTGTGTGACTGTGAGTTAATGGTGTATTAGTATGTTTCCAATTCAAGATTAGCTAGATTTCAGTAAATTAGGTTGCAACTCTAGAGCATTTTTCATAATTAGCCCTTCAGCTAAAGTAAAAAGGTCTGTTGTAAAAATCCTTGCCCGCTAGACCACTTCTACATTTTTAATTTGATTATATCTTGCCAAGTACAGTATAAATCCCACCTAACCTGCCTAAGCCCTTCTACATTTTTAATTTGATTATATCTAGCCAAGTACTGTATAAATCGTGCCTAGCGTTAGTTACAGCACTAGTAAAAAGACAACGTAGATTCGTCACCTTTGGGGGCCTTCTCATGTTGTAGACCATCGTCTGCAGGTTATAAATAAATGTCCTCTCATTGTACTCCAAAGAGCACTTCTCTCCCATCACAGTGCCATCCATATGGGCATACCCAGGCTCGTTAAAGTAGGGCTTGGCATTCAAAATCAGCCCTTGTATAGAAACAAGAACCTGCAACATTGTAGACACACCTGGAATCCACTTCTCCTTCTGACTACCACTCCAAGTGTTGAGAAGACTCAGGCACACCTTCCCACAATTGTACAGATTTGGGTTGATTCTAAGGCCTCTTGAATGGTAATGAACATGCTGCCAATGCCCAATGAGATATAAAAGCAATGAGAACTCAAAAATCCACAAATGTCTACAAAGTTAGGCAGAAAGGTGAAAATTTTGAGTTTAGAAATTAGAGAACATACTGGGGGGACATTAGGGTAGCTGCTGGGAAAGAAGACGTCAAAGAAAAAGAGACCGTCATGGTAAGGAGTCCCCTCGGCTCCTACTATGACAGCCCTCAAAAGGTCCATCCTCGACTCGTATACCCTCACGAATACTTCATCTGTTGGAGCAAAAGTGGGAATAACATTAAATACTAATGTTGTTAGAGCATCCACAGTGCTTTGAGTTCAATGACAAAAAAATATATGCCACCTAAAAAATAGACTCTGTCTAAAAAAATATACTCTCCAATGCAAATAGAAGTAGACTGGATCCTACTGATGTGGCAGACAGAAAAAGAGACTCGGTCTACCCTTAAGTCTATTTGTCTCTAGTCTCTTTGCATTAAAGTGGATTTTGTTAAATTTACATAATTTTATCCATGTCATCCAAGACTTAAGATTATTTACATGCCACATAGGCAAGACTAGACCCAATGCATTGTAGATGCTCTTAGAGAAATTATCAATTCGCATCTCTACATAAGCACAATAGAATCGAACTCCAAAACAAATTTCTTGGCCAAGTGTAATAATTTCCAGGGGTATTTTATTTAGAAGTTACCAGGCAAATCTTTTTCCAGAATCTTCCATTCCTCTTGGATTTTCTTCGCCCAACTCGACGGTGGCTGCTCACGTCATGCACAAGATAATATTCAAAAGTGTTAAAAGTGATGTTACCAATATTAGGAAAGCAAGACAAAAACAATGCGTATTCCGCGTAATATCACCTGTTTTGTGGAACCACCATTCTTGGCGTACTGGTGATCGGAATAGTCTTCAACAGTGTCGAATTTCTTAAAACTGTCAAATCTACGTAAAACCTCGTCCAAGTTTCTTGGCTCGACCTTGACCGGCTGTGAAGGCTCCACCCGAGATGCACCCATCAGAATATCCATGGAGAACTGGTTATCATCCATTAATCCAGAAGGTGACAAGGTCTCCATAACAGGATCTATAGGAAATTCCTGCCACCCGGGAGAATAGCTTGCTACTCCATAACTACCACCTCCACCTGCAGCAGACGAGTGAAATGGAGCCGAAGGGAATTTATGATAGTAGGAGGAGAGAACATGTGATGCAGGGGACTTCCTTTTGCTCTTCCCAGTTGAGACAAGAGGTTCCTTACCCATTTTATGAAACGCATTACTACCATAAGATAGTGGGTAATGGTTTCCAATACCGCCTGAAATGGTCTTCTTGCTGAAATCAGTTCCAATCCATTTAGAAGATGGTTTCCCCTGAAAATGTTGATGATCTGCGACTGGATAATCCCATAAAGTTGACATATCACCAATTTGGGTGTCATCCGGCGGCAACAATGAGTTCAAAGGAGGTGAGAGATTGGTATTGGTCGTTTGAGTTTTGGTAGTAGTTTGTGTAGAAGAGCTACTGGCTGTTGGCACTTTTGAATCGTTTTTGGGAGAAGTGGGTAACCAGGGGAATGACATTTCAACTCCAGGTGGAATATCCATGTGATCAAAATGTGATTCCAGAGTTGCATCATAGTCATCATCAGATAGTATGTCATCATAATATGTGTCTATCCACTCATCCTCCCCATAATACTGATTTGAGCCAAAGTCATCTGGATCTAATGAGTCGTGCAATAGGGCGCTAGGTTCATCATTGGCTACACCATCAATACCACCAGAAGAGCTGGACAAGACTTCCTACAGGTGAAAGAAACAAAGGTAAAGTTAATACTATTTTGACACCATGAAGATGTGAAATTAACAAGAATTTCGAAGGCCGAAGAAAAGTAGCAATAAGAGATGGGGTTAGAAGAACACTGAAGCACCTTGCCTTTGGCACTCGTGAAAACATCCTGATCATTCAACATTAGAACATCACTGTCTTCATCCATGTCCACGTCTATAATTTCAGGAGAAACAACCTTCACAAATTTAAAAGTATGAAGTTAATATATATCCAACCAGGAAAAAGAAAAAAAACAGGGGAAAAAAAAGAATTAAAGGTGAATAATAGTTGAGAAAACCACAGAAGTAAAAATAGAATCATGTATGCCACTAGGTTGATTATATTCAGGCCAAAGTATTTATCTTAAGAAGAAAATAAAAATGCATGCACAATAAATCGGTAGCAGGTAGCTGGTGCCAAACGATAAGTTGCAAAGGAATAATTTCATGTAGTAGACTTGTCGTCACCAAGTTCAAGTAAGACCAGAGATGTTAGACATAAAGCTAATTCACAAATGACCTATACTACAATATATTTCACAAGAACTTATAGAAAGGGATTTTTGTAAGACATGTGCTTGCGTATAAAATAATTCGAAATTCTTTCCCTAGCACAAACTATTAAAATCACTATGTCTCTTGGTTTGATGTTGTTCTGATTTTCTGAGCATTCAAATACACCAAATTGCAGTGCACCAGGGGTAATGCAACTTCTCTAGTTAGATCGAACTTGTCAATTTTGCGACTGAGACACAGTACTGAATCTTCTTTCTTATGCCAGGAAAGTCAAGCAGACAGAAATAAAAAGCATAATTGGCCAAAAAGCATGTGACATTTCGATAACTCATAAAAAACAGAGCAATCCCTACAAATTCCAGACCAAAAACAAAGCATAAACACCTGCAAACTCTTCTTACACAGACTACAACAATTTATTTCTAAATATCTACAAGCATAGAACCTAAATGATAATAAGTTTTTTACACTAATGAAAAGTCAGTGGTTGCTTGGATATAGGTTTGTATCAAAATATCTAATCACTTTTTTTACCTCAAAATCTAATTCAAATTTAAGGGCATGCTTGTTTATAAATTATTTCACTCACATTTAATTCATACTCAAAATCTAACTCAACTCTAACTCAACCCCACTATCTTTAATATTTTCATATAATTAAAAAATACAAACCAATCATTATTACACATAACATCAACTCCAATTCACTATTCATCAACTCACATAATTTTAACTACCTATCATTTCCAATCATTTATCCCCTACTTTTACATCAAATAAATTTTAGTCATTTTATTTTAAATATTATTTTAATACATTCTTAAAATCCCACTAACAACTAACCATATCACATTTTTCAAAACTAACTCTGGTTAACCAAAATAACTCATTTTGGACGAATTATTTTGTAAATAAGCGAGCCCTAACTCATTCCCACTCTCCTCAATATTATCGAAATAATTAAATAATATCGTTAAATCATCCTCACACATCACATCACATTTAATTCACCATTCATTCACTCACATAATTTTAACTACCCATCACTTCCAATCACATTTCTCTTACTATTACATAAAATCAACTTTCATCATTTTATATTAAATATTATTTTAATACAAAATCAAAATTTCACTTAAACCTAACCCAACCAACTTTTTCACAATTCACTCTGGTTAACCAATATATCAAATCAAAACTCAATTTCTCCAGTAATGCTAAGGAGCCAACTGTTGGCTCCGTTACGAAGCCAACAGCCAATGGGACAGCTCCATGTGGGGCTGTCCCACATGGCTCCAATGTGGGACAGCCCCACATGGAGCTGTTTCATTGGTTGTTGGCTCCATAACGGAGCCAACAGTTGACTCCTTAGCATTATTGTCAAATCTATATCCAAGCACCCTCTAACTTCTACCTTTATTCAGTGTTATCGCTGGCGGATGGTGGAAGGCCACCTGTGCCACCATAACTCCCTCCTTCACCAAAATTAGCATGGTGGTTTGGCAAAAATACACAATACCACCATTTGATAATACTGCCTTTATGATTATGAACATACAAGTTATGTCATCTCGATAAATAAAATCAAACAAGTAAAAGGCCTAACAACAACAACAGCTCCAAAAGATGTATATAAAAACAAACCAAAAGGCGTATGCACCATCATGAATTCAGTGTCCTGAAAACATCTATATGTAATTAAAGCACATTACAAATGCTTTAGCTCAAAATATAATATAACATGACTTTGAAATATAAAACTTAAAAATTAAATCCAAATAAAAACTTCAATTCTGCTTAACATAATCTCATGTTATCAGTACATTCATTTCAACCCCCATCCCAAGAACCACAAAATTGAGAGATTGAGAGAGAAACGTTGGCTCATAACATGTAAGTAAAATTTAAAACACTCAAGCATGAGGACCATTCTCAATCTCTCACCAGATCTCAACGCGAAAAACGATGAGAAACAAATCAGCAAACAGAAACGTATCGTGGGGGCTAAAAAAAACCTCTTTTTGTTTCGAGGACTTGGGTTTAGAACTGCGATTAGCTGGCGGCGTTACTTCCAACACCTCCACCTCCTTACACCCCGACGAGGAGCCTTCAGCCAGAAACACCCTTTTCCTGGACGATCACCCAAATCAATCAATACTTTGAAACATTCATTCACCAAATTCACACACACACACACACACAGGGGAAAAGGTGGGTAAATTGCATACTTGGAATTCTGAGATATGTATCTAGAGACCGGCGTGGGCGACTCCATGAGATGAGACTAAAACAGCACAAATCAAGATTAGGGTTTCAACTTTATTTCCTTCTCAGCGACGCCTCATTTATTCCCCAATTTAGGGTAAATTGCCACTAACTGAGTTTATTTATACTTATAATAATAATAATCCACAGAATTGTATGCTGCATATATTTAGGAGAAAAAAAAGGGCAGTATTCAAAAAGAATCATAAACGGATTTTGCTTCTTTTCGAATTCGAGTTTAGAGAGAGAATGAGAAACAGGGAAAAAGGGCGAGGACAGATGAAAGAGCGTGTGCGTGTTGAGAGTGTAGGCTTCGCGCCCAGTTAAGTGCGTGCCAAACTTCGGATCGTCGCTCATTGCCCGCTGGATTGTTTAGAATCAGATCCTTCAATTTTGGGTGTATTACGTATATGCCCCATACTACATACACTCGTACAAGAATGGTCAACTGCCCTCGGACGTTTATTTTGATTTTCAATTAAGTACAAGGGTTGTTCAGCTGAACACAAATCACCTACTCTATTACAACATAAAGAGAAAATAATCGGGGACTAATACGAACTATATACCCTCCAAGACCAACTTGGTCAACCTAATACAATCATCAAAGCAAACATGAAAATGTCTTCAACCAATAGTGCATTTGATAGGGTCATATTAGAAGAAGTAAAGCTAGAATTCAAAGCAACAACAAACTTCATTGAACCTATAGAACATCTCACTATGGACCAAATTTGTCTTTGCAATGCCAAGAGCCCATCTCACAGCTAACAGATTAACCTCCCAAATGTCGCTAGCCCAACTCCAGCTTTCCTTCGCTTCCATGATCACCTTTTCATGAAGTTTTGCCACTAGTCCTGCTCCTGTTTTGCCTTCTGATGAAATTATAGCATTGACTTGAATATCAACAAGCCCTACCATCTTGAAAAATTCTTCTTCATCAGCAATACCAGAAGTAGAGTCCTGCGCAGTTTTCTCAACATGTTCTATGCTAACCATCTCAGATGACTCTAACCAATCTCTCTTAGCTCCTGTCATAACTTCCTGTTCTATGAATGATTCCCTTCTAAACACCAAGTTGTTTCTAGCCTTCCACAATCTCCAGAACAGACATACTGACAGAGACAATCTCTCCTTAATCTTGGATAGCTTTTTGCCATTACACACATTTTTCCACCACTCAACTAGTCTGAAATTTTCATCCTTGAAGTCCTCACATTCAAACCCCATCAATTTCCAGCATAGAACACTCTTATGCCATTGGCAGAATAAATGAATAATGCTCTCAGAAGTCTCACCACACAACAAGCAGATAGGGTCAGCAGAAATACCTTTGCTCTTTAGGTTGTCTTTGGTGCTGAGAAAACCTTTCAGAAGCCTCCACATGAAAGTTTTAACTTTTGGTTGCAAGGGCAGCTACCATGTCACTTTCCACATCCTCCTAATACTCATGTCTGTAGCACTAGTTGAGGCCTGAGAATTTTTCATTGCAAAATGTGTTAGAAAATTAGCGTAAGCTGGCTTAATAGGGAAAATTCCTCTTTTATCAAAAGCCCACACAAATCTGTATGTTTTCCTGAAATGGCAAAGATGAATTTTAAGAATTTCAGAGGCTGTAAAAGGGTCAAATGTTTGGTTTACTAACTCTACATCTCAACCCTTGCCATCCACTGAAATCAGCTCACTCACTCTGGACAACCTGGTTCTGTTCCTCTCAAATAAGCACTTAGGGATAAAATCTGGTATTCTGGGAACCCAAGGGGAATTCCAAATGGACACTGAAGACCCATCACCTACTTGTACCCTCACTCCCCTCCTAAAAACATCTCTAACCCCTAACCAACTCTTCCAAAGCCAAGAGTCAGTACTTCTTTTTCTAACCTCAAGGAGATTGGAGTTATGGAAGTATCTGCCTTTTAGAATTTTAGTCACAAGAAGGTTTGGATTGGTAAGGATTCTCCATAACTATTTAGAGATAAGGGCTTCATTAAAGGACACCAAATTTCTAAAACCTAGCCCTCCTATCTCTCTATCCTTTGACAAACTCTCCGATGAAGCCCAGTGGATCCTATGCTTACCCTCCTCATTCTTTCCCCACCAAACCCCAGCCACTTCCCTACATATATCTGAGCAAATAGAGATAGGATGTTTAAAACATGCCATAACATACACAAGGAGTGCATTGAGAATAGTCTGTATAAGAATTGCTTTACCAGCATCACTGAAGAAACCATTTTTCCAACTAGCCACTCTTTGTTTTACTTACATTTGTGCATTGAGAACAGTCTGTATAAATAAAACTGCCCTCGGACGTTGATTGACAACATTTGTATTTCATCTTACAAGTTGCAACATCACAGTGTAGGAAGAGCGATTCTGTTGTTTGAAGTCATTATTATTATTATTATTATTATTATTATTATTATTATTATTATTATTATTATTATTATTATTATTGTTATTGTTATTATTATTATTATTCTCACGAAATCCAACACAGCACGTGTACAACTTTAATAATCGGGGATAACTAGGAGTGCAATCTCTCACAGTGAAGTGCACCATAAGAGGATGAGCCTAGTTGCACTTTAGTGAGGTTCCATCCCAAAATCAATTGGTGATGGGAGGAGTAGCTCACTAGGCTTATAAACTATACTCATTTACCCTATCAAATCAATCTGGGACGACTCACAAGTGATATTCCAACACGCCCCCCTCACTTGTGAGTCCTTCATCAGCCCAAGCCTACAACCAGGCTGGGTACCTTTAATCATCATAAGCCCAAGCCTACAACCAGGTCAGACACATTCATAAGCTCAAGCCTACAACCGGGTCGGGTACATTTTTAAATCATTGCAGGTTCCAAATTAGGCCTCCTTTGATACCATGACAAATTTCAATAATCGAGGAGAATTAAGAGTGCAGTCCCACACAGTGAAGTGCACCATAAGAGGGTGAGTCTAGTTGCACCTTAGAGAGGTTCCATCCCAAAACCAATTGGTGATGGGAGGAGTAGTCAACTAGGCTTATAAACTAGGCTCATTTACCCTACCAAATCAATGTGGGACCACTCACAAGTGATATTCCAACAATACAGAATGACAAAATAGTGTCATAAATTGTCTGGAAAAATGTTCTTTCAAAACTTATGGCTAATTATACAATAATAATGCTAAAATTTAGATAATTTCGCTTCAAAGTTAAAATAACTTTGTGTCAAATAAGCAAATATATGGTTAAGTTGATAAATACATGAATACTTAATGAAGACCTTGATAGACATTCACATTTGTAATTTTTGTCAATCATTAATTAGTTTATGGTGGTTTATGTTAGTCTTATTATTAGGTCCCTATATGTTGTACTGAATACTTTTCATAATATCTATTGAAAATTATTATTAGAATATAATACTACTTGTAAGTTGTCTCATATCGTTTATACAAGGAAAATAGGCCTAACTTATAATCCTAGTGGGCTACTCCTCCTTCCACAAATTGGTTTTGGGATGGAACCTCACTAAGGCATATCAAGGCTTACCCTCTCATGTTGCATTTCACGTGCGTGGGACTGCACCTGTTTCACTCCCGATTCTTATATGGTATAGAATCAGTTCTACGTGGGACCGTGCGATTACGTACCCGTTGCCCGGCTCAGTTAGGCTTGGGTTTCGTATGAAGGACTCACTAGTGAGGCGGCATATTAGAATATAATAACACTTGTGAGTTATCCCACATCGTTTATACAGGGAAAATAGACCTAACTTATAAGCCTAGTGGGCTACTCCCACCAGTTGGTTTTTGGACGGGACCTCACTATGGCTCATCAAGGCTCGCCATGTTATGGTGTGCTTCATGTAAGAATCGGGGGAAACGGGTGCGGTTTCATGCACGTGAAGTGCACCATAACAGGATGAGCCTAGATGCGCTATAGTGAGGTTCCATTCCAAAACTAATTGGTAGAAGGAGGAGTAGCTCACTAGGCTTATAAGTTAGGCCTATTTTTCTTGTATAAACGATGTGGAACAACTCAAAAGTGATATTCTAATACGCCCCCTCACTTGTAAGTTCTTCCTACGAGGCCCAAGCCCAACTGTACTGGGTGACGGGTACGTCATCGCATGGTCCCACGTACAAGTGGCTCTAATACCATGAAAGAATCGAGGGAAATTGTGGTTTTGGGATAGAACCTCACTATGGCGCACCTAGGCTCACCCTCTTATGGTGCGCTTCACTGAGTGGGACCGCACCCCTGATTTCCCGATTATGAAAATTTTACATGGTACCAGAGCCGGTTCTACGTGGGATCGTGCGATGACGTACCCATTACCCGACTCAGTTGGGCTTGGCCATCGTATGAAGGATTCACAAGTGAGGGGGCGTATTAGAATATAATACTACTTGTAAGTTGTCCCACATCGTTTATACAGGGAAAATAGGCCTAACTTATAAGCCTAGTGGACTACTCCTCCTTCCACCAATTGGTTTTGGGATGGAACCTCCCTATGGCCCATTAAGGCTCGCCGTGTTATGGTGCACTTCACGTACGTAGGATCGCACCCATTTTCCCCCGTTCTTTACAATTATCTTTACTTTTTAACATCTATATATATAAGGCACTACTACCAGCTTTGTTAGAGCGCGTTTATATGGTCAGAGCGATCGAAAACCTTCCCCGAGAAGCTTCTATAGGAAATCGACGTGTCAATCAAGCAATCGGCAACCCTAGCCGTAATTGAATGGGCCGACTGTGGAGCGGTTTTTACGGTCTTGGGCCTTGCAATTGTTTGCTCATTGAGCTGAGATTAACATATGGGCCACATCATTCTCTGTGATCGGAGATTTATTGGTACAACAATTTCTATTACTATGAAATATAAAAGATGAGTTAACTATCAATTAGAAGGTGGGTAATAATAAATCTAGCGAAACGGAGTTTAAAATATTTCAAATTATCAGCCTCTACAGATTAACACCATAAACACTCATTTTAACACGTGACACGATGGTCAAGAATATTAATAAATATCATCTGAATATAAATAAAAGGTGGAAAAAATAGATGAAAACATCATCAAATTAATTCTTCAATCTCCTCTTTATTATCGTATGAGACCGAGCATGTTTTTCTTTCATCTAGTTAGACATGGTCACGGGCTGAGTCGGCCCGGTCAATCCTGTTGACCGCGGGCCTCGAACCGGCCCGTGGTTTTACCCAGGCTGGTTTAGATTCAAGAAATTATACTTTTGTGAACCACCTGTTCTAGTTCAGGATCGGCCCAGTAGTACTTTTAATATTTATTGTTTGCTATTTTTTTTTTTCGGTTCCAGTCCGAGCCGGGTTGGTCCTGGTACTGGACCTTCCATATGATTAAATCTGGATCGTTCGATCTTTTCTACAGTTGGAGATCCAACTATCTCATTTATTTATTTTTTTTAAACGGTTCTTGGTCGAATCGTCCCGCCCGGAACCACCAACGGTCAAAAGTATCTAACTGTTGGATCATTTTGACAGTTGAGATCCAATGGTCAGAAGCTGACCCACAACCGTCGGTTCAATACTTAAAGAAAAATTGAAACGTCCGAAAATAAAATCTNT